AAAAAAAAATGAAATTCTCCCATTTGCAACAACATGGATGAACTTGAAGAAACTTACGTTGAGTAAAATAAGCAAAGCACAAAGGAATAAATATACATGTCCTCACTCATAAGTGGGAGCTAAGAGAGAAAGAAGAAAAGAAAGACCACAGTGGTGCATTGGACTTACAGAGGGAGAGAACAAGCCTAGGGATATAAAGTGGAGGAGGAAAGGGGGATGGGGGGGAGGTTGAGGATAATTGGGTGGGGGACACGGGGTATAATCACAATTTGTAGTGATGGGCATGCTGCCAGTATGGATCTGGCCATCACATCTTGGGCACAAGTGGTGAAAAATTAGCTTTGTACTCCATGAATATTCATAACCAATAAGAAAAAGAATACTACCAGAAAAGGTAATCAAACTCATTAGACATTTGAGTTCTAATTCAGTGAGCATAGAGCTAATTCATACAGTGCAGATAGAATGAGCCCTATTTTTGTAATAATTTTTTGAGAATTATTGACTAATGATAGAGTTCTAAGGTGCATTTCTAAAAATAAAGTCATTTAAAACATATACATAAAACTGTAGTCCACAGGGAGACAAATGGCTATTTGCATTAAAAAAAAAAAAAAACAGAGAGAGAAAGGACCAAAGAAACAAGTAAAAACTTCAAAGAATGAGAACCAATTAGATAGGTTATTTCCCAATAAGAATAAACAAATAAATAAATAAGCAATTCCTAAAGAACTATCTGGCATAGCTGCATATCTCCATCCTCATATTTAGGAGGGTGTGACAACCAGAACACTCGCCCTGTCACCTGTGAGCCCTATTGTTAGCCCTTCAGCCTTTCCTGTTTGCTGTTCCTTCCATCGTTCTTTCTCTCTGCCAGTATGTCTTGCCTTGTTTATCCCTGCTTTTCTTATTCTCTCCATGCTTTCACCCCATTACCTTCCCTCTGCCCACACCCACTCCTTTAAGTGCTCACATTATTAATTTGAAGTAAGGATTTCAAAAGTATTTAGGTAGCATTGTCATACAATGGTAAGACAAAGAAAGGTGGGGACAGGTTTGTGAGAGTTTGTGCGTTGCCTCTGCTGCATAGGGGAAAATGAGGGCCGTTCCTACATCACCCAGAGCCGTGGTCACTGTATCTGAAAGAGGAAATGGAGAACAGCACCGGCCCCATCTACCTCACCAAGTAGCTTGTGTGTGTGTACTCATTTGTTTTCTACAATTCGAAGACACCCAAAAGCAAAAGATTGCCACGCTGGCCCATCTACCCTGGCTGTCTTTACAAGGGTTACCAGTTA